CCTCAAAAATAGTAATCAATAATATATTGAAAAGTTATTTGGCTGATTGTTTTATATTGGCTCAGCCAGGTTATATGGGATGCCCAGTCTACGTACAGATGGGTCACACATTTTGAAATATTAAACTTAGTTTTCTTTTCTAACATTTTTAATTTTTCATCCTCATGTAGAATGCTATTATGAAACACACATTTGGTTGTTTATAGCATAAAGAACATCTGATTTAATGTGAGGTAGGGAAATAATCATTTGAGTTTATGTATGTGTATATAAATATGTAATTTACAACAGCTGTAAGATGCTTGAAAAGCTTGAAAATGCACCTTGAAAATGCTTGAAAAGTGCTAGAATTTGACTTTGGAAAAGGTGTAAGAACCCTGAACCATACATGTATGAGTGATGGAACCAGGATGTGTGTGTCCTCAGGTGAACTGCAGTCTGTACGCTGCTGGACACGGCCCCCCCACCTGGAGCAGCTACCTGGAGCACATCGATGACAGAGTTCAGGACGCTCTGCTCAACATGATGCACACCGCACTCACCTTCCTGTGTGACAGCATGAGCCCTAAGGTACACACACCATACAGACACACCTGCAGCACCGTGAACCTCAGGTACACACACCATACAGACCATACAGTGTGTGTGTGTGTGTGTGTGTGTGTGTGTGTGTGTGTGTGTGTGTGTGTGTGTGTGTGTGTGTGTGTGTGTGTGTGTGTGTGTGTGTGTGTGTGTGTGTGTGTGTGTGTGTGTGTGTGTGTGTGTGTGTGTGTGTGTGTGTGTGTGTGTGTGTGTGTGTGTGTGTGTGTGTGTGTGTGTGTGTGTGTGTGTGTGTGTGTGTGTGTGTGTGCAGAGCTGCAGTGTGTTTCTGACAGTGAGTCTGCAGCTGCAGGAAACAGGAAGTGTGTTTGAGCCCTCAGTGGGCGGCGGCCTCTCAGACCTCCTGCAGAGTTTCATCAACGACGTCTACAGCGCCGCCAGCCTGCCCCCCCGTATCTCTGACGGTCACCACGGCAACTACCAGGTGAGCCAGCATCAGTCACTGCACACACCTGAAGCCCCATCATATACACTCAGATATACTCACCTTAAAAACACCTGTTCAGGTGTGTCTGCAGCAGGAGCCCCGCCTCTCTGCTCTGGAACAGGAAGTGATGCGTCTCCTGCAGAAGGTGAAGGAGGAGGCGGAGCTCCTGCAGGTGAAGATGGACAGGTACTCTTACCTGTGGCAGAGCGACAGGCGGGCTGTGATGCAGGAGTTCCTCACCTACAGCCGGCAGCTGGGCCCAGAGGAGCTGGAGGCCCCGGAGGCCCCGCCCACCCTGAAGGACTTCCAGAGAGAGGTGAGCCTCACCTGTCACTCAGAGAGGAGCCTCACCTGTCACTCAGAGAGGAGCCTCACCTGTCACTCAGAGAGGAGCCTCACCTGTCAGGTGTACCCTGAGAGAGGAGCCTCACCTGTCAGGTGTCCCCTGAGAGAGGAGCCTCACCTGTCAGGTGTCCCCTCAGAGAGACAGGATGCTGTATATGTGTATCTCTGTGTTCCAGCTGCAGGCCCTCAGCAGCCTGCAGGTGGAGCTGTCTCACCTGGACGAGCAGCGGCTGCTGGGCTGGCTGAAGGTGGAGCTCCGCCCCTTCAGAGACTCCCTGCTGTCAATCATCCAGGAGTGGAGCGACATGTACACACAGCACCTGCTGAGCTCCGTCAGCACAAGGTACACACACACCTCACACACCTCACACATAACAATAGAGCACATTTTAAGTGTGTGTGTGTGTGTGTGTGTGTGTGTGTGTGTGTGTGTGTGTGTGTGTGTGTGTGTGTGTGTGTGTGTGTGTGTGTGTGTGTGTGTGTGTGTGTGTGTGTGTGTGTGTGTGTGTGTGTGTGTGTGTGTGTGTGTGTGTGTGTGTGTGTGTGTGTGTGCAGTCTGCAGCAGGTGACTCAGCACGCTGATGAAGACTCCTCTTCCTCCTCTGGGTTCCCGGTGACGGAGACTCTGCTGCTGCTGGAGGCTACAGGAGTGCAGCTGCCTGAACATCTGTCTGCACAGCTGCAGGTCTGAGTACACACTACTACTACACAATATATACATGTACACACTACTACTACACAATATATACATGTACACACTACTACTACACAATATATACATACATGTAGTTCTGATGAGTACACAATACATACATGTAGTTCTGATGAGTACACACAATACATGGTAACTGATGCTAAACACCTAACCTGCTCCTGAGCAATCCGAGCTCACCGCCTGCTGGCCAATCAGAGCTCAGTGTGGGGAGTTTAAAGCTATCCAGTCATATTACAGGATAAAGGAACCGGCTCCCAGTCCCTACTGACTGAGCCACTGCCGGACTAAAAGTGTGATGTCTTCATATTTGTCTAACGTGATAGTTTACTCTTCATTCAGGAAGTATGACGCTGCGCTGTCAGTACGCTTGTCCATGTTTGTGATTGGTCAAATGTTGCTAGCCCCGCCCCTTTCATGTGAACGCGCACTCAGCCGGACAGAGAAACCCTGGTTGAGTTACCGAGTTGATAACCAGCGTCGTACGACCGCTTAGCGAGATCTCAAATAGGGCTTTCACACCATGGATGTATAATAAGCACTGGATACAGCGTGGGAGGCGGGGCCTCGTTCATTCCTATGAGAGTTGCTCATTGGCGCATGAAGACAAAATGGCCCAACTTTTGAGAGAGCGAAACGTCACGAAAGTATTCACATAATCATATAATCCGTTCTTATTTTGCGTCCATGGGTAAAGGTAAAACATGTAGTGCTGAACACGTCACATGAACGTGCCGGGCGGCGTGGTCCCGTGGGTTAGATGCGCGTTCATAATGCAGAGGAAAATAACTCTCAGAATAACGTTATTAGCACATTTTACAACTTGAGGACCGAATGCTTTTAATAAGGGCTATACAAACATTCATACTGGGTAGTTTATTTAGTTTAAAAAAAAATATCCAATGATTTACAGACGTCTCTTTCCCAATGTAAGTCAATGGGAAAAAGTCTTTCCGGGCCCAGCGACTGATACGGAAGTGTAGTACCGCCGTTTGGCCACAACGAATATTTTCCTCAGAGTCCGGCGCACTTCCTGGGGGCTTGCTTCACACCAACGCGGTTCCCGTTCTAGCTCTGTGCTAGAGCTTTTCTGGTTCGTAACCGGTTTTTCTTTTCAGCCCCCGTTTTGTTCACACCGCCCAGAGAACTGGTGATATTCTATAACGGTATGCAGATGTATCAGGGGCGTGGCCTTTGTCGAATAACCAGGAAATACACATTTCGATCGCTTCTTCTGCCGTTTACATTCATCTTTTGGTATATTTGGCTGGATAGGAACACTTTGATGCACATTCAGTACCAGTGTGTGAGGTTGTGGTTGCGATATCCAGACTCGTACAGCGAGGACTACAAAAAGACACATGAGGTGACTGGGGATGTGTGTTCAAAACATTGCAAGCTTGAATAAATCATTTAAACCATTTATTTTTGACAGACTTATTACTGAATATCGTTCTTAATGTGATACCAAGTCCATCTGAGACCTGTGTATACCTTCAGACAGCCTACAAGTGAAGCTCACGTTGTTTACTCACAGTTTGAAAGCAGCGTGGAGAAGTCTTCAGCTGTGGAGAGCTCCGCCCAGGATAAACTGTGATACGACTTCTGTGGCTTGTTCTTGTTGTCAATCTTATATTTGTATCATATATCGTTATTAATATGATGTCGAGTTGATTTGAGACTCGTTTATACTTTCATACAGTCTGTTAGTGAAACATACAGTCTGTCTGAGTTGTTTACACCCATCTCCAACGCAGCGTGGAGAGCTGTGGTAAACTGTGATCCGCTCAGATTAAACTGTGATACGACTTCAGTGGCTATCAACCAGCGATCATGTTTAATATTAAAGACTGCACACATTGATCCCTTATCAAAACGGTATTCTGCACTTTGCTGCACTTATCCAGATGAAATGTGACTGTTTACTCGTTTTGCAGATAGAAGCAGAAATGTCATTGCTGCATGTGCAGGGATATTTAGAATTTAAAATGCTGCTTGATCATTAATTTTGTTCTCGGCAAACAATATTATGAATCCTCTATTCAAAAATATTATTCAGTGTCCATCGACATGAAAATAACAAAAAAGTTCATGCTGGACTCAAACTCTCGTTCCATGCGCGTTATGAGTGAGCCACGGATCAATACGATGTATTCTGTCATCACAGCTTATTTAGTCACATTAACATTGTTAAGAGTCAGAACAATTCAACCCGACCATCTTTTATAATGTGAGCGAATGTATGTACACTTTAAGCCAGTGGCTCTCAACTGGTCAGGCCTCGGGACCCACTTTTTCCTTTGTCAATAAATCGCTTTCTCAGTGGAGTCAGTGTTTGGTACTCCAACTTCTGGCGATTTTTAGAAATGCTAACATATAAACTACGCATTCTGGTACACTCTGAGAAGAAAATAAATCAATGTATTGCTACCCGACATATTAATAATATTTTATGCCATTGTTTGTTTTTCACTTTGTTCTGACATCTTGCTGCTCCTCACAGAGAGAAGAGCAAAGAGGAGATAGTCTGTGTGACTTACTTTAAATTGTGGGTAAGGGTAGATAGCCCCCATTGTTCTGTGACCTGTCAATCATCAAACCGGGGGTCATATTTCATTATGTGTTCATTTGTATCTGAAGTTGTACCCATGGATGTATAAAGAGTAGTTCTACCGCAAAGTTATTCTCCGTGGGGACTTCCGGCAACAATCTTGATTCTGATTGGCCAGAAGACTCGAAAAAACATCAGCAAAGATGTTTTATTGAGAAGATGATCACTATAGCCGCTTTCACACCAAGTACTTTGGCGTACTTAGTTCCCAGCACTTAGTTCCCAGCACTTAGTTCCCAGCACGTAGTACCCCCATGGAACTAAGAGCCGATCGCGTTCACACCGGAATAAGTGGGAGGGAAGATTACGCAAATGAAGCCGCTGACGTCACTTCTTCTTCTTCTACTTTGGGTTTACTGGCAGGCCGCAAAGCACTTCACGGCGTATACTGCCACCCGAAGTCCCCGGAGTTGGGGACTGGCTTCAGTAGAAGCTGCTGCGACTCCGTTGGTGCGCGGGGCTAATGCTAATAATGCTAATGCCAGCAAATACAATGGCGGCTTCAAAAAACTTTTCAGTGTTTTACGGGGCGTGGTTTGCAATTCGCCCAGCCAATCAGAAATTGGTACTTTTTTCTCCCCAGGATAGCACCACCTCTCTAGCAGGCACTAAAAATGGGGGTAAAAGTTCTCTGAACTAAGTTCTCTTTTTGGTGTGAACGCAAAATTCCAGGCACTAACGGAACTAAACGGGAAAAGTACAGGGAAAAGTACTCCAGTGTGAAAGCGCCTATTGTGACAGAAGTTGTCAAAACTGTTCATGGTCTCCGGTACTCCCAGTCCAACGCCTACTGCATGCACAGCGTTAGAAAATCGGGCCTTCAAAATAAAAGTTTGACTTTTTTCCAAAAAAAAAAAAATATATTTTCTTTTTTCAATATATGTTTCTTCACACACATCTCGAAACGGGTCCACCAGTTGAGAACCACTACTTTAAGCCATATAATATAAATATTATAGTAGGCATTTGCTTTGAAATAGTATATACTGACTGAGCATCATTAAGACCCACCGAGATCAGAGGCCTGTACTAAGACGCTGGTTCAACCTAACCTGGATATGTTTGAGTTAGCCGGTTGGCCCAATCCAAAACATACACGCTCTCGCTAAACTGTACTACGACGCTGGTTATCAAGTGGATCGCTCAAGCCAGCCGTGTCCTATCTAGTTAGGTGCACGTTCACATGAAAGGGGTGGTATTTGGAGCATTCGACCAATCACAAACATGGACAAGCATATTGACAGCGCAGCGTCATACTTCCTGAATGAAAAGTTCATTTAGTTTGAGACCCACTGAGATAACTAAAATGAAACACAGAGAGTCCTTTACCTCACTGAGCCTCTCAGTCTGACAGGAGAGCTCTCCTCCACCCTGGTTGTAGAAACATCTACTTCTTATATCCGTTAGCGCAGCTAGCACCAGATTCTAATAACAACAGCGCTGCACTTTAGCTGTGAGCTGCGGGCGCCTGATAAGCCAACATCCCCCACTTTCATCACTTAGAGCGCCCATCGTACAGGGCAAAGGAAAAGTGTAACCGGGGTGAAATTTACTTAAAGGGGACCTATCATGCAAAATGCACTTTTGTACGTCTTTTATACATGAACTCACCAAGTGTCAGAAAACACAACCCTCTCTATTTTCCTCCATACCCAAATCTCTAAAAAAGGGGCTGCAACGGATCTGATAAAAACTGATCCAGATTTGAACACTGTCCTGACGTCAGGACGGTGGCGCTACGGCTATTGGGCCAACTCCACCAATCAGGAGGAGACAGCCACGGCCATTGCCGTTCGAAAGCGCTGGAGACGCTGTAGTACATATGCCAGGCCTGTAAGTGGCGCTGTAGTCTGCCACAAAAGCAGCGAAGAAGACTTCCCGCCCATAGTTACCATGGTTACCCTTCTGTTTATTCTCCGCTGTGGCTTTTTTTCCCCCTCCCCGAGGCAAGCGTTTGCTCCCGCTGCTTTAATTCAATGCAATCCCTCCCCGTCGAGGCAAGCACTGTAATTCTCTCCGGTTAGTCCACCAGCAGATGACAAACACCCACCTCTCCGCCTCTTCCAAGGAACGAGGGGACCGTGCGGCAGAGTTTCAGTTTCAGTTACTTTCGCCGGTCAAGATGTCCGTTAAAGTTTAAATCTTCCGGACAAAATTAGAAAAGTGCCGGTCAAAGGTCTTCTTTGTTATTTATTGAGCTTTAAAACAAATGAATAACGACTCTATATAATAAAACACGGAGGACGGAGATCTCTTTTTCTCCCCCTCTTCTGACAGCCCAGCAGCTGATCAGAGCACGTCTCCCCTCTCCTGCAGGGGGGCGTGGTCAGCAGAATCAGACCCGTAAACAGCAAACAGCACATAGAGCGAAATGAGGCATGGCTAAAATGCATGATCTGTTTGGTATTTTGAAAACAGAAACGTATAAATATACCTTATATAGGTATGGCCCTACAATATATCATTTAAATATAGCATGATAGGTCCACTTTAAATATGAATGTTGTTACATCAAGGCCGAAAATTAAGATGAGCGCCAACGGTCAAAAAATGTTTTTCCCCTCCCAGAGCTACCAGCGCAGCGCCCCCCAGATCTGGCGCCCTATGCCCTGCCTACTTCATACAGTGGCAATGTCTCAATATTTAGCAAAAATACACCAACACAAATACTTTTTTTTTTTTGGGTACCTGGCTGACTCCTAGCAGCGGCGCGCATATTTCAGCAGCGGCGCTGCGCTGCCACTATTTGTATATAGGGGAAACACTGGTGTATATGATGTTGTGTTGGTGTGTATGTGATGTGTGTTGGTGTGTCTCTGATGCTTCAGCGTGTGTGTTTCAGTGCTGATGAGGACTCAGCTGACCTGAGATCAGACTCTTCCTCAGTATTACCTGCTGTGCTGCCTTCACTGACCCTCTGTGAACCTCCTCACCTATAATCATATACTAATGTCTTCATAATAAACAGGAAGTTATAACAACAGTCTGATCCGTGTCTTCATCATCATCACATCAGATATTCAGACACAAAGAACAACATAAATAAAGGATTTATTAGAATTTCTTTCTGCAAAAGCTGACAAAATACTTTCCATCCAGCACATAGACCGGTCCAGTCTATAGTCTGATCCATTCTACAGTCCGGTCCAGTCTGTAGTCTGATCCATTCTACAGTCCGGTCCAGTCTGTAGTCTGATCCATTCTACAGTCAGGTCCAGTCTATAGTCCGATCCATTCTAGAGTCAGGTCCAGTCTATAGTCCGATCCATTCTAGAGTCAGGTCCAGTCTATAGTCTGATCCATTCTACAGTTCGGTCTATAGTCCGGTGCGGTCTATAGTGTGATCCAGTCCATAGTCCGGTCCCAGGTACAGTCCGGTCTAAAGTCTGTTCCGGTTCTTAGTCCGGTCTATACTCCGGTGCTGACCCCTTCAGGACCAGAAGGAACCAGAACCTAAAGAGGCACAATGATGAGGATCCTACAGAGGAACTGGATCTAAAAAATTAATTTAATTAAAACAAAGTCCTTGTTAACACTCAATCTCCATGGCAACAGAAAAACAAAAACAACAACATCAGGTCTGTCCGGAGTCTCTGCCGCTCTGAGGTCACGCAGGCAGCAGCCAATCAGAGCGCGGCGGTACACTCCGAAGGCCACCAGGCTGAGGAAGATGGTGACGCCCACCAGCGAGGCGGTGGCCGGGGCTGTGAAGAACTGCCGGTACTGGATCTGGCAGTACCAGAGCACGGAGAGCATGAGAACCAGCAGAGGAACCATCAGGCTGCCCACGTTCAGGGCGGAGGGGGGCGTGTCCTGCTGGGGGGGCAGCAGGTGGTCTAGGGGGGTGCGGGTGGAGATCCAGGCCAGCAGCAGCACCAGCAGCAAGACAAAGAACAGCAGCGTCACCTCGTCTCCCACGCCTTCAATCAATGCCATCGCCATGGCAACACCGGTGGGCTTAGCATCCACCGTCACTTCCTCTGCAGAACAACACTTTATTTGGCAAACGCTATTTGTGTTCGCAAAAGGTGCAGCGGGCTTCAAACACGTTCCCCTCCACTGGTTTCAACCAAGCCATAAATTCAGTTGAACTTACACTTCCCCATGTTTATTTGTAAGTAGATTCGAAGATACCCGAGTTTCTGACTGCCGCTAGCTGAAGCTTGGTTGCTAGGTTACTAGCTGGGTGTTCTCCGAAAAGGGGCCGGGGGAAGCAAAGTTGGGGGAACAAAGTTAGTGGTTACTGGTTCCGTGTTGATTTATTTCAATACAGATTGTTGGGGGGAACTGAAAGGCTCTTACCGTACTGGTTACTTTGCAGCCCGGACATTTCCCCCAAAACACATTTAGACGTGATCGCAACACAGAAGTACCTTTCACATCCCATCATTTTTAAGACCCTCTAAAATCATATTTAAGACCTTTCTTATTTTTTTGATCATATTTAAGACTTTTTAAGGCCTTGAATTCTGATTATCAAATGTAAGACTTTACGGGAACCCTGCTCAGAATCCTGACTTTAAAAATAATAATTCACTTTTGGTAAGGTCTAAAGAAAAACCCTCATCCTCTTCCGTAGAAGACAATTAGAAGTAGTTATTTCTGCAAGTCTAAAACATAACTGGAAATTGAACATGTTATGCAAGTTAAGTTTAATTTATTTCCACATTTATCAGATGTATTACATGCAGAGTAGGTTTTCTAAGTGAACAGAGTCTAAAATATTGTCTTAATATCAGCTTTTAGTCAACACATAGTTTAATGAATGTGATTCATGCACTTTTATCTCCACAAAGTTGTTGATTTTGCACTCGGGTTCTTAAAGCAGATTAACGGACAGTATTCAACACAGATTTGACTGAAAATGTAATTTAACTGTTCTCGAGTTAAAGTAAAGATTCCTCCACATCAACACGACTGCATCTCCTTCGCACACACAACACAGCTTCACTTGTTTCCACGTGTTAATGATGTCGTGCCACAGACCAGCGTTTCTGCAGCTGCACTGAAAGTCTTGTGTTCTGGATAAAAGCCGACATCCTAAAAATGTAAAGTCTGCCGTGGTCTAGAACATGATTTGTAATCTGAAGTGCGCCTGCAAGATGGTGTTGTTGCGCATTCCCATCTTCTGCATCCACTTGTTCTTCATCTTCTGAACGTACTGCATGTCCTTCTGCTTGTGGTTCACGGCGGCAAAGCCTGGGAGAGAAAGGGGAGCAGATTCATCAGTTATTACGGGGTATGATGAGAAGTGAACGCGATGTTTTAATCTAGGGTTCTCTAAAACTAAAAGTGAACACTTCACGTAGATTATGGGTATTGCAGCAAACTTATATTGTACAAGGAAAAGCTGTTAAAAAAACCTTCCTCGATTTAAAGAAACCCCATCATGCTTTATAGGGTGTGTTCTATAGGTTTTAGTGCATGTCAATGGTCTGCAAAGGCTAAAATCCTTGCGTTCTCTCCAGAGCAGTGTTTCTCAAAGCGTGAGTGCCCCCTAGTGGTCTGTGAGTATATTGGTAACATTTCACATTTGAATTAATTTAAGTTTTCCGCACTCTCGCGGGAATATCTCCGCAATGGAGCGAGCTTAAGTTTCACTTTTGATTGCGTGATATAGCCCAGCGCAACACCTTCGTCACACATGTTGCCACTTGTTTGTACCCTTTTCAGGCGATTTGTAATCTGTTCTAGAAAAACGATGTATTTTTTAGGATTTCAAGAAGCGTATGAAACAAACAATGGATGTCTTTTATGAACATGTATCCATGCTGGAAGTAGATTTAGATGTGTTAGGAGTGAGATAGAGATTATTATCTAATATATGCATCCGATGAAGCATTGCATGAAGTCTGTTGATGATCAGAGGCTGTTGTTGGGGCAGACCATGCAGGCCGACGGTCACCAAGGTTCATGTTTTAATAGCATCTTTACAAAAAAAGCCCACGCGAGCCTAACATGTGAAAAATAGCTTCGACCTCAGAGAGTTAAACTTGGGCCTGCGACCAAAGCTTTACTGTCTTTTGTTTTGGGAATCCACAGCGGAGGTTTGTGTCGTACTATGCGGTGTGTTTGCATTTCTCTCAGTAGCCAACGATCTGAGAGTCTGTTGGACATAAACTCCGTAATAAATGTAGTCTACTTTTCATAAGAGGTGTAAAACCTGTGAGCATTTTAAACCGCATTTTAACTAATTGCTTATATAATCTGTAGTTGTATTTGTATTGTTGATTTAATGTGTGAACGAGGCGATGCAGAGAAGGTTAAGCTGTCATTATTAGGCTGTTATTGTTGGAGTAGTAAGAAGGCCTATTATGTTTAGGGATATTTGGGGAGTGTTTTAGTATTGGTTAAGTGTCCTTGGTATGAACAAGTTTGAGAAACACTGCTCCAGAGGGATATTTCCCCACAGACTAAAATCCATCATTAAGTTAAAATATCAATTAAAAAAACACTAAGATTAAAAAAGTTGAAAATTGTGGCTTAAAACTTGATAAACATTCATTTGAAAGCACAAAATAAGGAGAATGCTGAGAGGGAACACATCCCTGCTACAGGTGATCAAATGAAACGCACCTTTACCTTGATTTCAATCACACATTTGACACGCAATGATTATAGTTCCCATTTTAAAAAGGGGAAACCTCACATTTTATTCCTGTTACTATTAAATCCAAGAAGAGATATTTCCAACTATAAATATTTGTATTCTTTCATATTGAATCTTCAATTGGACATTCCTTATATAATATTTTGTTTTTATATAAATATCGTTATATATTATTGAACATTGCAATCCTGAACTTGCTATGTTTATAACAAATACAATTATTTATTTCTATTTTTACCCTTTTAATTCTTAAATAGACCGACTGTCGTAAAACCCAATTCCCCTCAGAATAAATGAACTATTCTGGTTGATTCCTCTCGGTTTCTTTCTCCAACTGTTGGCATATCAAATGATAATAAATAAATATATATATAAATATAGTGTTTAGTGGATGAGTCTCACCTCCGTCTCCTCCCCAGCCCAGAGCTCGGTACTGCTTCATGACTCGGCCCACGGCGTTCTTGTTGTGGCTCAGAACCAGAGCTTTCTGAGCGCCGAAACGCTGTTTGTAATACCTCAGGAGGGAGCGGTGTCCGATCTTAGCGCCTGAGGAAACACACAGAGACACACGTTAACACAATATGGACTATCAAACACAAACAAGCAAGGAGAGGTGCAGGAATGAGTCCTAAAACCCTGAAATAAGGGAGAATTTTAGCACTTCCTGTCCCCTGTTCTGGAAGTCAATGGTTTTTCTGAATGTGTTTTTGGTTGTTAGCTTGAAATAAGGTCTGTGGTTAACTCAAGCTGAAGAGATTTGAATTCAACGACATAAAATACATCAGTAAATCCCCCACTGGTGGATTTAAACACTGCGGTTGCTAACAAGAGTCTAAATGAGACGACTAAACGTCATCACGCCCAACATTAGCTGCCTTTAGCTTAGCGGTGGTGACGTGAAGTCATGTGACCGTGCTGTAGTTCCTTTATAGCCCAACATTAGCCACCTTTAGCTTAGCGGTGGTGACGTGAAGTCATGTGACCGTGCTGTAGTTCCTTTATAGCCCAACATTAGCCACCTTTAGCTTAGCGGTGGTGATGTGAAGTCATGTGACCGTGCTGTAGTTCATTTATAGCCCAACATTAGCCTCCTTTAGCTTAGCGGTGGGGACGTGAAGTCATGTGACCGTGCTGTAGTTCCTTTATAGCCTAACATTAGCGACCTTTAGCTTAGCGGTGGGGACGTGAAGTCATGTGACCATGCTGTAGTTCCTTTATAGCCCAACATTAGCCAACTTTAGCTTAGAGGTGGTGACGTGAAGTCATGTGACCGTGCTGTAGTTCCTTTATAGCCCATCATTAGCCTCCTTTAGCTTAGCGGTGGGGACGTGAAGTCATGTGACCGTGCTGTAGTTCCTTTATAGCCCAACATTAGCCGCCTTTAGCTTAGCGGTGGTGACGTGAAGACATGTGACCGTGCTGTAGTTCCTTTATAGCCCAACATTAGCCACCTTTAGCTTAGCGGTGGTGACGTGAAGTCATGTGACTGTGCTGTAGTTCCTTTATAGCCCAACATTAGCCACCTTTAGCTTAGCGGTGGTGACGTGAAGTCATGTGACCGTGCTGTAGTTCCTTTATAGCCCAACATTAGCCTCCTTTAGCTTAGCGGTGGGGACGTGAAGTCATGTGACCGTGCTGTAGTTCCTTTATAGCCTAACATTAGCCACCTTTAGGTTAGCGGTGGGGACGTGAAGTCATGTGACCATGCTGTAGTTCCTTTATAGCCCAACATTAGCCACCTTTAGCTTAGCGGTGGTGACGTGAAGTCAAGTGACCGTGCTGTAGTTCCTTTATAGCCCAACATTAGCCGCCTTTAGCTTAGCGGTGGGGACGTGAAGTCATGTGACCATGCTGTAGTTCCTTTATAGCCCAACATTAGCCACCTTTAACTTAGCGGTGGTGACGTGAAGTCATGTGACCGTGCTGTAGTTCCTTTATAGCCCAACATTAGCCGCCTTTAGCTTAGCGGTGGTGACGTGAAGTCATGTGACCGTGCTGTAGTTCCTTTATAGCCCAACATTAGCCACCTTTAGCTTAGCGGTGGTGACGTGAAGTCATGTGACCGTGCTGTAGTTCCTTTATAGCCCAACATTAGCCACCTTTAGCTTAGCGGTGGTGACGTGAAGTCATGTGACCGTGCTGTAGTTCCTTTATAGCCCAACATTAGCCTCCTTTAGCTTAGCGGTGGGGACGTGAAGTCATGTGACCGTGCTGTAGTTCCTTTATAGCCTAACATTAGCCACCTTTAGCTTAGCGGTGGGGACGTGAAGTCATGTGACCATGCTGTAGTTCCTTTATAGCCCAACATTAGCCACCTTTAGCTTAGCGGTGGTGACGTGAAGTCAAGTGACCGTGCTGTAGTTCCTTTATAGCCCAACATTAGCCGCCTTTAGCTTAGCGGTGGGGACGTGAAGTCATGTGACCATGCTGTAGTTCCTTTATAGCCCAACATTAGCCGCCTTTAGCTTAGCGGTGGTGACGTGAAGTCATGTGACCGTGCTGTAGTTCCTTTATAGCCCAACATTAGCCGCCTTTAGCTTAGCGATGGTGACGTGAAGTCATGTGACCGTGCTGTAGTTCCTTTATAGACCAACATTAGCCACCTTTAGCTTAGCGGTGGTGACGTGAAGTCATGTGACCGTGCTGTAGTTCCTTTATAGCCCAACATTAGCCGTCTTTAACTTAGCGGTGGTGACGTGAAGTCATGTGACCGTGCTGTAGTTCCTTTATAGCCCAACATTAGCCGTCTTTAACTTAGCGGTGGTGACGTGAAGTCATGTGACCGTGCTGTAGTTCCTTTATAGCCCAACATTAGCCGTCTTTAACTTAGCGGTGGTGACGTGAAGTCATGTGACCGTGCTGTAGTTCCTTTATAGACGAACATTAGCCGCCTTTAGCTTAGCGGTGGTGCTGTGAAGTCATGTGACCGTGCTGTAGTTCCTTTATAGCCTGGCCTGTTACTTCAGAATTCTTAAAGTGGTGTTCACATGTGGAGATTTTCCCGCTGAACTAAACGTATCATAAACGTTTGTTATTAATAATCCAAAATCCAATGGAAAAACCATATTGACTTTTTGTGGAGGGAACCAGGCTTCCTAATTTTAGCACAATTTTGAATGTGATGCTCCTTATTATTAATAATGTTAAAAGTAGATGAAGGTAAAGTCACCTGAAGGCAGCGTCAGTTCGAGCAGCTCATCGTCATACTCGATGTTCTGGTCATCAGGAAGCTCGTCTTTGTCCTTCTCTGCGTCCTCTCCCTCTTTCCTGTCTGGGTAGCTGCTCCTGTTTCCGTAAAAGAGTAAACAAAGCGTGAATCAGACGAACAAAGAAGCAGAATAAAGGCCTTTCTGTTACCTTTAGATAAATATATCTGTCGTACAGTAATGTACATTTCACTCAAAACCAACCATTTCAAATCGGCTTAAAATCAAGTCTTGTTGATTAAGTCAGTTTTATTTTGATTTTGGGCCCTTCTGTTTTTGTATCATCTTATACCTTTTTTAAACGAATGCATATAAAAATGACGTTATTTATTACCTGAAGTCGTAGAAGTCTGCGAACTCCAGAGCGGTGTCTCCGTCCGTGAAGAGCTTACAGTGGCTTTTGTCGGTCATGTGACTCTGAACTGCTTCAGCCGAATAAAACGAGCGCCCCTTCTCGTTACACCACAGACACACGTTGCCCGCTCCCACCTTCTCTCCTGAAACACAAGAGGAAACATTCAATTAAAAGCTGGAAAACATACACATTTACATCAAATAACAAGAGCATTAGGTAGTATCTTTATTACACGACTAATAACCACAACGTTTGTAGATATTATTACATATTTTTATATCAGAAATCCTCAATCTGAAATTATTAAGCGGTGCAGTGATCGAATATTTTTGTTCTAATATTCATACTGTACATTTTACTTATACTTCTAATTTAATATCTCAATCTTGCACACTAAATGTAAATAATATCCCACTTTCATATTGTGTTAGCTGTAATTTAGTCCGTCAATGTTTTATTTGTCAGATAGTTGACATTTTTTCCTCATGGTCAACTTATATAATAATTGTTTACGTTACACTTTTTTAAATGTCTAATTATGTACTTGTTCACCATGCTGCTGCAACGAAAGCATTTCCCAATTTTGGATTAATAAAGTATATCTCATTTTATTCATAATAGAAACAAAAACTAGAAAACTTTAATATCCTACAAGGCGCCGTTTTCATCCAGAGGAGATATTTTGGATCGACTTAAATGTTCAATATAATCAGATGTTTAATCATACTGCTTTTTAAATAAGTTAAGACTGACGGTACGTCCACACGGCAGCGTTGAAGCTTGCCGGTGGGCGTGTCTGGTGCGCGACCAACAACCAATCACATTAATCTCCCGCCCCGGACACACAAGCACGCGGTTTGATTGGCTAGCGCTTGTACTGGCATATGATTTGATTGGCTGGCGCTTCCGTCAACACTTGAAAAGTTTAACTTGTCTCAACTTTCGAAGCGAGCAACGGAGGCAAAGCGACGCGACGGAACCACAATGCAGTTTGGCAAAGCGTGACGTCACCCCATTCAAAGTTAATGGGAAGCGTCTCCGTTGAAGCACGCAACGCTGCCGTGTGGACGTACCGTAATATGTCCAGACTTTAAGTCGACTAAAACTTGAAAAAAAAGAATCAAGCTGACTTAAAGGTAGGGTAGGTAAGTTTGAGAAACCGGCTCGAGATCGCTAGAATTTGAAAATACACAACCGGAGAAAATCTGCCACTTCCTCACAGAGCCCCTCCTCTAACACACACGAACGCACACATGACCAGTGAGGGCACGAGATAAGTTTGTGCACAGATGGAAGGCTGACAGGCAGGTAGGCCATCCAGTTATTTTAGCCGGGCCGGCTCAGATGATTGGTCGTGCTTTTTACAGAACTACTGCTTCCACAGATGATGTTTTTTTATGTATTTTTTGTCAAAGCACTTCAGATATTCATTGCTATCGGGATGTTAAGAGCATTCCATGGAATATAACAAAAAGTGTATCTCGAGCCGGTTTCTCAAACTTACCTACCCTACTGTACTTTTAATATGATAATATAAAAGTAACAAGGACATTTGAACAAGGACAAGAACTACATTTATAGAAATTAACAAATATGGTTTGTCTTTTTAAAACTAGCAGATGTTCAATAAATAATCAATAAACTAAGAAAAAGGCTTTTCTCACAGGACTAGAAATAAAAGGCAATAAAACATTTAAAATGTGATTTAAATTGAGAGGATGTCTTTTTAAAACAACTAAGGACATTTTACACGGGACAAAACAATTAAATAATTAAAGTTAATCTAAAAAATAAACAAGCTGAGGTTAGAACACTAATAAGGATGTGATTAAAGGTAGGGTAGGTAAGTTTGAGAAACCGGAATAGTGGGCGGTGACGCTCCGCCTACATGGGCCACGCTCCACCTATCAGGGGAATGAGAGGTTGCCGTGGCATGGTAACAGCATGGTAACAGCATGGTAACAGCATGGTAACAGCATGGTAACATGACGCTCGTGCCTCACCCCCCTCCTTTGCAGGGCGGCGTGGTCAGCTGCAGCTCATTTGCCACAGAATCAGAAGCAGTGCTGGAATACAGCAAATAGAGCGAAATGAGGCATGGCTAAAATGCATGATCCGTTTGGTATTTTGAAAAAAAAAACTTCACAGACATGTTTTATATAGGTATGGCCCTACAATATATTATTCAAATATAGCATGATAGGTCCACTTTAAGTGCTTTGACAAAAAGTCCATAAAAAAATATCATCTGTGGAAGCCGTAGTACTGTAAAAAGCACGACCAATCATCTGAGCCGGCCCGGCTAAAATAACTGGATGGCCTACCTGCCTGTCAGCCTTCCATCTGTGCACAAACTTATCTCGTGCCCTCATTGGTCATGTGTGCGTTCGTGTGTGTTGGAGGAGGGGCTAAGGAAGTGGCAGATTTGTTCCGGCTGTGTATTTTCAAATTCTAGCGATCTCGAGCCGGTTTCTCCAAAATGACCTACCCTACCTTTAAGTCTTAAAACTGTATTACAAGTTAAGAAAAAGCTTTGAATAAATAAAGGGAAATTGTAAAACCAGTCAAAGGAATGAACTGTAAATCACTTTAAATAAACTGAAAAGATAGTTTTGTTTAACTGAGATAAGACTAACATGCCCAGACTTTAAGTCAACTAAAACTATATGATAATATAAAAGTTACAAGGACATTTGAACGAGGACAAGGAAATTGGTAGAGGTTCAATTAATAATACAAATTTAAAAAAAGGCATTTCTCACAGGACTAGAAATAAATGCAATAAAAAAATAAAAATTCAGTACAAAATTACAAAATATATATATATTATATATAATATATATGTGTATTTTTTTTTTAACATCTAAAAAGGCCATTTGACGCAGGACTAAGACTAGATTAAAAAAAATTAAATAAAAAAAAGTCTAACAAATAATCAAGCTGAGGTTAAAACACTAATAAGGATGTGATTAAATCTTAAAAACTGTATTAAAAATTAAGAAAAAGCTTTGAATTGTAAAAACCAGTCAAATGATTGAACCGTAAATCAGCTTGTTTGAACCATTGTGCCACTTCCACCTGGAGTCTCCTCACATTCACCTCCACAACTCACCGAGGTACCGCATGAGGCCCTTGAGGTCGACGAGGAACTCGAGGTCGGGGATGAAGAAGCTGTGGACTCGCGTCATGTGGGCCACGTTCTTCATCAGAGACTTGGAGTGGTGTGAGCAGAACAGGCAGTCTGTGACGGGGATGGATCCCGGCAGAGCAGCTGGACGTGGGGCGGAGACGGCAGCAGCAGCCCCTTCCTCCTGGTCCATCGTCTCCTCCTCATCATCCTCCTCCTCCTCTTCCTCCATATCATCATCGTCTTCCTCCCCCTCAACGTCTTCCCACTCTTCTGGAAGATTGTTAAGGGAAAATATTGGAGTCAGAAGCTTTATTTATTTTAGCCCTGTTACCAAAGTGCTGATTCTCTGTCTGTTACTTTAGATGAAAATAAGGAGCCCCTCCCCACGCCCCTCTGAGAGACATTTGGTTACAAAGAACTCAATGGTGCTCTAGGAGGAGATTCAGGTGGGGGGGGGGGGGGTTACCTTGGTTGCTGATTGGCTAATGGTTACACAAGACAAAACATCGTTATGACATCACAAAGTGGCCAAAATCTGATCAGCTCATTTTCAGACAGGTTTTTATAAAAATGGATCAAAAAGAGAGAGAATCTTTGTTCCTGAAACTTTCAGAGTCTCTTTCCACAGAGGGGACACATGTTGATGAAGAAGAGACATGAAGAAGAGGGGACACATGTTGATGAAGAAGAGACATGAAGAAGAGGGGACACATGTTGATGAAGAAGAGACATGAAGAAGAGGGGACACATGTTGATGTAGAAGAGACATGAAGAAGAGGGGACACATGTTGATGTAGAAGAGACATGAAGAAGAGGGGACACATGTTGATGAAGAAGAGGGGACACATGTTGATGAAGAAGAGACATGAAGAAGAGGGGACACATGTTGATGTAGAAGAGACAGGAAGAAGAGGGGACACATGTTGATGTAGAAGAGACATGAAGAAGAGGGGACACATGTTGATGTAGAAGAGACATGAAGAAGAGGGGACACATGTTGATGTAGAAGAGACATGAAGAAGAGGGGACACATGTTGATGTAGAAGAGATATGAAGAAGAGGGGACACATGTTGATGAAGAAGAGACATGAAGAAGAGGGGACACATGTTGATGAAGAAGAGACATGAAGAAGAGGGGACACATGTTGATGTAGAAGAGACAGGAAGAAGAGGGGACACATGTTGATGTAGAAGAGACATGAAGAAGAGGGGACACATGTTGATGAAGAAGAGACAGGAAGAAGAGGGGACAAATGTTGATGTAGAAGAGACATGAAGAAGAGGGGACACATGTTGATGTAGAAGAGACATGAAGAAGAGGGGACACATGTTGATGTAGAAGAGACATGAAGAAGAGGGGACACATGTTGATGTAGAAGAGACATGAAGAAGAGGGGACACATGTTGATGTAGAAGAGACATGAAGAAGAGGGGACACATGTTGATGTAGAAGAGACATGAAGAAGAGGGGACACATGTTGATGTAGAAGAGACATGAAGAAGAGGGGACACATGTTGATGAAGAAGAGACATGAAGAAGAGGGGACACATGTTGATGTAGAAGAGACATGAAGAAGAGGGGACACATGGTGATGAAGAAGAGACATGAAGAAGAGGGGACACATGTTGATGTAGAAGAGACATGAAGAAGAGGGGACACATGTTGATGTAGAAGAGACATGAAGAAGAGGGGACACATGTTGATGTAGAAGAGACATGAAGAAGAGGGGACACATGTTGATGAAGAAGAGACATGAAGAAGAGGGGACACATGTTGATGTAGAAGAGACATGAAGAAGAGGGGACACATGTTGATGTAGAAGAGACATGAAGAAGAGGGGACACATGTTGATATAGAAGAGACATGAAGAAGAGGGGACACATGTTGATGTAGAAGAGACATGAAGAAGAGGGGACACATGTTGATGTAGAAGAGACATGAAGAAGAGGGGACACGTGTTGACGTAGAAGAGACATGAAGAAGAGGGGACACGTGTTGACGTAGAAGAGACATGAAGAAGAGGGGACACGTGTTGATGAAGAAGAGACATGAAGAAGAGGGGACACATGTTGATGAAGAAGAGACATGAAGAAGAGGGGACACATGTTGATGTAGAAGAGACAGGAAGAAGAGGGGACACATGTTGATGTAGAAGAGACATGAAGAAGAGGGGACACATGTTGATGTAGAAGAGACATGAAGAAGAGGGGACACGTGTTGACGTAGAAGAGACATGAAGAAGAGGGGACACGTGTTGACGTAGAAGAGACATGAAGAAGAGGGGACACATGTTGATGAAGAAGAGACATGAAGAAGAGGGGACACATGTTGATGAAGAAGAGACATGAAGAAGAGGGGACACATGTTGATGTAGAAGAGACATGAAGAAGAGGGGACACATGGTGATGAAGAAGAGACATGAAGAAGAGGGGACACATGTTGATGTAGAAGAGACATGAAGAAGAGGGGACACATGTTGATGTAGAAGAGACATGAAGAAGAGGGGACACATGTTGATGTAGAAGAGACATGAAGAAGAGGGGACACATGTTGATGAAGAAGAGACATGAAGAAGAGGGACACATGTTGATGTAGAAGAGACATGAAGAAGAGGGGACACATGTTGATGTAGAAGAGACATGAAGAAGAGGGGACACATGTTGATGTAGAAGAGACATGAAGAAGAGGGGACACATGTTGATGTAGAAGAGACATGAAGAAGAGGGGACACATGTTGATGTAGAAGAGACATGAAGAAGAGGGGACACGTGTTGATGTAGAAGAGACATGAAGAAGAGGGGACACATGTTGATGTAGAAGAGACATGAAGAAGAGGGGACACATGTTGATGTAGAAGAGACATGAAGAAGAGGGGACACATGTTGATGTAGAAGAGACATGAAGAAGAGGGGACACATGTTGATGTAGAAGAGACATGAAGAAGAGGGGACACATGTTGATGTAGAAGAGACATGAAGAAGAGGGGACACATGTTGATGTAGAAGAGACATGAAGAAGAGGATTTTGCATAACAGGTGACCCTTAAGTATTCCAGTCATGTTTGTTGCATGTTTCTATTTGATTGTATTTACTTGTTTAAAATGAAATGTGTCTTTAGGTTGAATTACAAAATCTGTCCAGGGACTACCGATGAAAAATAGCTTCTTGGCTAACTGCTTTCTTTCTTCATAAATCAAAAAGTTAGAATTCTGAAACCCTCACTCGTCTCTTTTCCTCACCTTCCACAGCTGCCGTCGCTCCAGTGTCCTTCTCCCTCCTCTTGGCTTGCTCCTCCAGCCACATCATCCTCGGAGGACACTCCAGCTGCTCCGCTGTCCTCGGCTTCTTCTCTGCCTGAGCCGCTGGACCGGGTCGTTGCTGCTCCTTCAGCACCTGCTGCAGCGCCTCGTTTCTTGCGTCTCGATCTTCCTTCTCCTCGCCCAGTCCCTTCTCCAGGTTCTTCTCGTTCATCTTGTCCACCTTCTTCTGGGCGGCGAGCAGCGCCTGCTTCTCCGCCTGCAGGTGTTTGTGGGACTGCAGATTCAAGATTTTAAGTTAAGGCTTTTATTGTCATTTGCACTTTAGCTACAGTGGAGATATGGCAATGCAAATCTGACGTCACAGGCTCCTCCAACAGAGCAACATAATACAATTGTGCAAGTAAAACTAAATTAATTTTAATTTGTAATAAGATTGATGTGTTCAGGGTTCCTGCAGGTTTCACCAACTCAAATTGAAGACTTATAATATGTGTGTGAGTTGCAAACAGATGGATGAGATGGTTTTAGTCCTGATACTATATAATATGTGTGTGAGTTGCAAACAGATGGATGAGGTGGTTTTAGACCTGATACTATATAATATGTTCATAAGTTGCAAACAGATGGATGACGTGGTTTTGGACCTGCAGGTGGTTCTGGTAGGCGTTGATGCTGGAGAACTTCTTGCTGCAGACGGCACAGCCTTCGGTGGCCGCCGTGTCGCTCAGCTGTTTCTCCGCGGCCACTCGCTGAGACAGGACTCGCTCCTGGAAGTTTTCCGCGGTGACCGGCGGCATGTCGGCGACTTTACGCTTCAGGTTGTAACGATGCCAGTCGGTTTTATAATGCGCCCGCTGCACCTCGCCATCTGTGAACGCCACTCTGCAGCTGATGCAGGTGTAGGAGGACATGGCAACCTGAGGGAAACAAGGGGGATGTTGAAATAAGATTGTTTACTGTTGGGAAAATACTGAATGTCATAGTAAATAGTAATATGAGAGTGCACATGATAACAAAAGGTATCCCAACTGTAGCTGTGTACATGACAGGATGTCTGATTACCTAGAAGAGCATCAGGACTGTTTTAGGCATATGATAGCTATGTGATTAACATGATAATACTTTTCTACATTTTACTCAAGTAAAAGTATAAAAGTATTATCATCAAAATATAGTTAAAGTAGCGACAGTAAAAGTAGTCTTTGTACAGATTGGTCCATTTCAGAATAATATATATGATATGTTTATAATGATTGATCATGAAAGTGTTCTCAGAGCTGGTAAAGGTGCAGCTAGTTTGAATGACTTTGTATACTGCAGGGTAGCTTGTGAATTTACTCCAGGTGGAACTAAAGTCTGATTTAACACTTGATTATATTTCACATCATTCATCCACATCTGTGAAGTAACTAAAGGTATTAAATACATCTAATGGAGGAAAAGTACATGATTTACCTAAGTCGTAGTAAAAAATTTACCTCGAAATTGTGCTCGAGTACAGAACTTGAGTAAATACACTTAGTTACTTTACACCACTGGTATTTAGTGTCTCTCCTGTAACTTGTTTCTATGCTTTAATGTTCTTTATTTGTCTCATACTGCCTGTGTGTAACTCCTTTAAGATGAAGTCTGGTCAGTTGTCGGTTAGCCTACCTAGCTAAACAACAGCTTGCGCTCTGATAAAAGCACTAAATTACGTAATAAAATGAACTGAAATAGATCCCTAACGCCACCAACTACAACTAAACACACGTACAAATAATAAAAACACGAACTATTAAATTGTATTGGTGATTTTTAGACAAGCTAAGCTAACATCGACTAGCAACCAACACTTTAGGCTAAGTAAACATCCGTTAAAAACCGTTAGAATCTGCGACATTCAAAATACTCAAACCAACCGACAGTTTAAAACATGTCTACTCACCTGTTTAGTGAACTGTCTCCTCTGAAGAAAGTGTTTTAATCTCTTGTTTGGATAAATTAGCTCCTGTCTTGCTTTCTACAGCACAATACGCATGGAGAAATGAAGGAAACACGTGAGGCTCTCTTCACAGGGTGAACTTCTCCTCTTCTTGATTTACCGCCACCTACTGTATTGGAGTGTGGACCAGAACCATCTATGCTGAGAGATGTATCCATAGATCTCAATTTGACTATCAAAGAGGACCAGTTTCATGCATTTAACTTCAGAATCTTATATATGTCATGCCCCGGACTCCCCTAAAGGATGTGAGATCCACCCCCTCACTTAAAAACGTTTCACATGGATAGGCTATAGGAAACTAAATACATTTGTACACTTGTTATAGTAACCTATGTGCATGGGTTTTTGTTTTGGTAGTAGCCTACATTGGTCGATTGTAGAGAGTTTTAATTCAGTATTTACATTTCATACTGTGTATTCTTTGGATACTCAATTGACAAAGCGCCTCGGATAGTCTTTTTTGTCTGTAGTTATCAGGCTGAATAACCAAGGGTTAACAATGTAACCCATTAAAAAGTACTGTACGGGCCTACCCTTCTGTTCCACTACATCTTAGAGGTAAATATACTTATTGAGCTTGAGATACTTTTCAGATTTCAAGTTTTTCCCCCACTTCCTGTCCAGTGAAAATCATGTATCTCCAGATGTGTTGATTTTGGTTTATATTAAGCTGTCTTTGGCTCTTTTCTTGCTGTAACAAATGCAATTTCCCCTCTGTGGGACGAATACGTTGTCCCACTGATTTGTATATTAGTGACAAACTTAAGGATGGAGTGTTAACACCTTCTTATATCAACCTCTTCCTGCACAATCAAACATCAGAAAACCTTTCGTCATACCACTGTGGGGAATTTTACACCTTTTCTTTAGGAGTAATTGTCTTTTTACACATATAGCTCGAATGATGTCAGTAAAGCATTACTCATTTATTATCAGCTTTATTTCATGATCACTGAGCAACACATTATTCACAATCTCTACATAATTATCATTGTCTGTGGTGTAGTCACATTGATTACCTGAAAAACATGCATGCACTCCACACGTTTCTTACATCACTGAGATAAATGACCCATTAAACCACAAAACCCAGATTCCAGAAAGATGCCATATATGGACTTTATGTTCTATGGTAAACAAAAAAGTATTAATATCACATATGTTGCATGGAGTGTGATTTGCTGGAAGTTACAGATATTGCACACCTTGCACCACTTTATATGTCCACTATGTGGTGCTAGAGAAAACAGTATTAACAAACAGAATGTCACTAAACATCAATTGTAGACCACACATTGAAGGTTTCTAATTTCTCTAATTTCCCCTCCTCGACTCCTCGAATCCTCGGATGACCCGCCGGCGGGGGCTATGGGGCTTATTAACTAAGTGTATGCGTGTGCCACGTTTTGTGCGTCTAAATGCAACCCGTAGCCCTAAAAAAGTACTATCTGTTTAAGCCGTTGAACGCACACACAACTTTCACTATCCAGCTTTCCCCATGTCTTACGGCTTTGCTACATTTCAGAGAGATCTGCATAACCCTAGGGCAGGGGTCGGCAACCCGCGTCTCTCGAGCTGCATGTGGCTCTTTAAGCCCTCTACTCTGGCTCCCTTGAGTTTAGACATAAATAAGAAGGAAATTAAATAAAAGTATTTGTAGGACTATTTCTATTTTGTTATATGGTTGAAAATGTTTCGTATCTTGTATTTTGAGGTGATACTGTGACACATAAATAAAAAACAAAACGGTTTTAATTAGGTCAACTCAAATATGCATCACATCCTGCTACGGTCCCGCACAAGCGCCTTTTCTTGCAGGTGAATAACCTGACCCCCGGCTCGATGAGCGAACTATGGATAAATCAAAGAAAATCTAAGTATCGGAGGAACACAGAGGGTTTAATTCTGCGTGGACAGAGTTATATGCTTTCACAGCAAACGATGCTGGCTCACCGGGATGTTTGATATGTGGAGAGAAGTTGTCAAAGGTGCTGCAGCCTTTACGTACTGGAGGAGAAACACGGAAAAGAAAGACAGCTGACGATCTTCAGTCATAATTCAATCAGTTAACTATTTTTAGGGTGCAGCTACAGGTTTGATTTATTACAAAGTGGGTCAATTTTAATTGTATTTTTTTTCCTTCAAATGTGAAAAGGACTACCCAAGTGCTGTGTTTAATTTATTTTAAAGTAGGCCTGTGTATTTTTTTTAATTCTCCTTATAAGAGTTCTTTGTTTATTATTAGAGGTTAACAGTTTTATAAATAATAAATGCAAAAAAACTGTAGTTTTTGTCTATGATGTAACAATAAATACAACTTTATAAGCTATCAAATATGTTTTGCGGCTCCAGACAAAACAAATTGTTGGAAAAGGGGGCAAAATGGCTCTTTTGGTCAAAAAGGTTGCAGACCATGCGCGAGGGGGAGCAGGAAGTTAAAGTACAAAACCTTACTACATTCTTTCTTCTTTTTACTATCTAGTAAAAGCAAAAGCAATCAAACAAAGAAAACACAATATCTGAAAAACATTGTTTAGTTGATATCAGATTAATAACACCACTTTACCATATTAACATCTTTGTTCTTGACATTCTGTGACACTGTTTAGGATTTGGTCACAGCTCACCCCTGATATAACTGAGGAAACTATAAATCACACATTGAAATTCAAAAAGGGGGACGGTGAAGATTAACAAGGAGTCAGACAGTCAAAGGTTTGCTAAATCTGTTGCTGTCTAACGCCAACCTGTGAGGTATTTAAATGCTTTAATTACGCCATTTCTAAACCTAATTATGATGTTCTCAGCGTCTTCTCTGGCCCTCCTTTCGTGCTCTTTTCTAAATCTCCTCCTTTCCTCCTCCATTTCTCTTTCACGAGTTTCAAGTAGCTTTTTCATCCTCTCGTTGTCATCTTTCATTTCCTTCATTTGTTGCTCATACTTTTCCGATATTTTCTTCTCCATTTCCTCCTTCTCTTTGCGCATTTCTTCTTCTCTCTCTTCAAGGATCCGTCGTTTTGCCTCTTCTATGGCCCTCTCTGCCCTCTGGAACATTTCATTGGTGTAATGGCTTCCTCCGTTCTTCTCTGCTATCTTTCTGATCTTGTCGAGCAGCTCTCTGACCTGAGAACGATCCTTCTCCTCATTATTGAAGACGTGGTACTGCCCGTAACATCTGGCCACAAGTTCCTGCACCTCTTTGCTTTCCTTCAAGAACTCTTCGATAGGTTTCCCTTTGAGCACATCACCGTGGGTAAAGAGAACCATGCTGTATCTGTCTGCTTCCTCTCCAAAGATTTCCTGAATCTTCTGAACTGTCTGTTTTTCTTCATCTGTGAATCTGCCCAGTCTGATGACGACCAGGAAGACATGGGGTCCAGGAGAAGCATAAGCAATGCTCTGGCCAACATCGTTTCTGGTCTTGTTTTCATCAATCTTGGTGTCAAAAATACCAGGAGTGTCAATAACTGCAACTCTTTGTCCATCCACTTCCCCAAAGGCCTTAGCACAGTCTTTAGTCAGAGAATCAAAAGAAAAATCTGATTTAAAGTCCTGTTTTCCCAGAATGGTGTTTCCTGTGGCGCTCTTCCCAGCTCCAGTTTTCCCAACCATCACAATCCGGACAACCTTATCATTCTTGTAGTATGCATCGCCTGAGTATGTGTTGTGGCAGTTTGTAGAATGTTGAGACGAACAGACTGAAAAACAGAAAACAACTATTTATTGCTGTCGTCATACGTTTTTGTTCTTTGCAGTTCCACAAAATACCTTTGAGGTTCCAAATAGAACCTTTTTTGGTTATAAAAATAAACCACAAGGAGTGCCTGACAGACCCTCTAACATCTGATATCCCCTCTCTTTGCACATTAACACATTTACATCAAACCAAACAATATAATCTAAAATCACATCACATTAAATCAGAAGGAAACCCAACTTGTGCAGGAGCATTGGCAGGAACACAGGGAATCACACAAGGAACAAATAAAACCACACATCAGGAACCAGAGGGGATCAGAGACGACGTATAGAAAGCGAACACAAGGGGAGACACATATATCAGACAAACAGGCGGGAAAACACAAAGACAGGAAGTAATCAGCCCGGGAATCTCACCCAAGCCCCCAGGAAGTGCGCCGGACTCTGATGAAAATATTCGTGCTGGCCAAACGGCGGTACTACACTTCCTTTTGGTTGCCAGGCCCGGAAACACTTTTTCCCATTGACTTACATGGGGAAAGAGTGGTCTGTAAATCGTTGGATAATTTTTTTTAAACTAAATAAACTACCCAGTATGAACACTTGTATAGCCCTTATTAAAAACATTCGTTCCTCAAGTTGTAAAATGTGCTAATAACGTTATTCTGAGAGTTATTTCCCTCTGCATTATGAACGCGCATCTAACCCACGGGACTGCGCCGCCCGGCACGTTCATGTTACGTGTTCAGCAATACATGCGTTTATCTTTACCCATGGATGCACAATAAGAACGGACCCATATCGCCTTACTGCCAGCCCATGGAGCTGTAATAATGGATATATTGCACATGTTTGCTGTAATTCATCATTTGTAAAATATTATACTACATGGGCTGTATGATTAAATCTTGTACCGTAAATGTTGTATTAAATAAAGTTAATATTACCGACGTAGATTAACGTCCCTGTAGCTTCTTATTGCACTAAGAAGCTTATTGCACTGTGTATATATATATGTATATATATATATACAGTGCAATAATTCTTTCATGCTAAATGAAGCTCTGTTGCTTGGATATCACTAGATCCTGTTACAGCGTAATATAAAAGTACATAACGATTGATGTGTAAATTAGCATAATTACTAGCTAACCGCTAGCTGCTAACTGCCGCCTCGTTAATATCAAATATATCATAACAAACATTACCATGCTGTCATGAACGTGCGGTGCTGTTACGTGTACGCAAATTGACGTGCTTGATGTGAACGAGCATTTTGGGGGGCATGGTTAAAGTTGCACATGCGCTATGAGCGCACATACGGGTACTTCTCAGGCATGCCGGGTAATCTGTGACGTTTCGCTCTATCAAAAGT